ACTTAGGAAAGTTTTAATTATTTTAAAAAATTAGAAACATTTTGCCACAAAAATATCTAAGATTTGTCAAAATTTAATTTTTTTACGATGAACATATCCAGAAGAAGAGAAGGAGAAGGGGGGGGGGTCTAATAAGGTCAAAGCACCTTTTAAATACCTAATAAATGTATCATTAAAAATAAAGCAACATAATAAATATTTGAACCCTCTACCTTTTTAAAAAAATTACCAAGTATGGCCCCTGTGTCATAAATATAAAGGATCAGGAAATGATTTATTTCTTCTTATACATTCTTCGTCATAAAATGCATAACAAGGACACTGAATTAATAGTTGAACGAAGAGTTCAAGGTCAACATGCTAAGATATAGGTCACTTAATATAAAACGCAAAAAAAATTTATTTTTTATTTTTTTTATTTGAACACCCCTACCCCCCCCCCCCCCCCCCTTTTTACTCCTTTAATTCTTCATGTAATAAATAAACTTGTCGTGTTGTTTAGTAGTTTATGATGACAAATTCTTTCATCGCTTATAAAATCATTAATACATAAATGTGAGGCATTATCACTCAATACCAGATTGCTACTGTTGTTTCCATGACTTGAACTTTTTTTTTTCCTTTTTCTCCTCTCCATGGAAATTTAAAATTGTCGATGAAATGGAAAATTGTTTGCTGCACAGTAAAAGATGTAGGATCAATGCTATGTACATATATACTTTATACTTCTAAGAAAATAAATAAAATTGAAGGACGAAGAGAAGGAATAAAATAAGAAAACTAGTTGTGATTTAAAATTCAATTACATTATGACATTCTTACAAATCCTACCCCAATTTTTTAATACAATTTTGCTGGGTTTCTGAAGTGTGAATTTGATGAAAAATTGTTATGAGGAACATTATGAAGTTATGCAAAAAGTGGCTTTCCCTTTTCATGCCTTTGAACATAGTAATTGAAAATTAAAATATGGCTTTCTGGGGATCATTTATTTTTGACGTCAAAAAATTAACAGTCACTGAGCAAAAGGCAGTTTTATTTTCAAATTCAATCAAAACAAACAGTAAAGCTAATAAAAAAAATTCAGAACAAAAAAAAATAATTTTTCTAAATTCCATAGATTGAAAATGAAAACATTTGTTCTCAAAATCACAAATAATTGAAATCAAATCATCATTACTATCGAGAGCATCACAAGGTTTTGATTATTTACATAATCTCTTAGGATTATGTTTGATGCATCATACACTTGGAACTACAAAATAGCAATTATCGACAAAAGCATGTTAAGTGAAAAATAATTTAAGAATCAATTCTGTTTTCGTATTGAATTTCAATTGCTTTTTTCGGCTTCACTCAATCTCCCTTCCTTTTCCCTTTTTTTTATGTATGATAGCCATCCAATATTTGACAACATAAATGCATGTTAAATGCCCCCAAGTCATACAACACAAATCCTCATCAATTGGCATCACATTGCAATTTTCACATTTCTGATTATTTAAAATTCATTACATTTTGTCATTTTGTTGTACTCTGTAGAATTAAAGGAAAAACTGTACTCGTTATTGTGGTGCATAAAGGAAGTATCATTAATACAGTCTTGATTATTTGTCTATCTGGCATTCCACTCAAAGCTCACGAGTTTTTTTTACAACATTTTAACTGAACGATGTGATTTGTGAGTAGATGTGGCAGTAACTTAGCCAAAATAGCGGAAGTTATGAGGGTTGAAAATTTTGTTTGCTTTATTGAAAAATTCAGCATCATCGATCGAAGATTTTTACTAGCAATTTTTCTCAAAAATGCGAGTTTTCATTTCATTTTCAAACGTTCTTTCGACTCGAAATCAAATCGACTCGAGTCGACCAGAAATTAAATCAATTGATAAAGTTACAAATTTGGGAGTTTATGTTCAAATCATTCCAGAAGAATGAAAAATTAATAAAAGTAAGAAATTAGACATTCTTAACTTGATGTCCAATCTGCTTCAGTCATAAACTCAAGAAACTGAAAACCACTGAGTGTGTAAAATAATAAACGGTGTCTTTGGAAAGAATTCATAAATAAATATTTAAAGAAACTTGACACTTTTCAGACACAACATTGTACCATTATTTAAAATATTTAGTTAAATATCTCAACTGAAGAAAAATGAACTGTATTTTGAAACCATACATAAAATAAATTTTATTTTGTTCAAAAGAGTTATAATTGAATTAAAGGAATATCAAGCATAAAAATCAATATGTATAAGAAAAGAATCTGAAACTGAATTCACGAAACAATGCAATGAACCGTGAGGCATGAATCAAAAAGCAAGTTAGTAAAAAAAATTTCGAAGAAAGAAAAAAATTATTGGCGTTTAACAGAATAATAGTGTGGAAGTAGAAAATGAAAGAGAGACAGAAATCTTTGAACTGTAAATTTTCCTTTTATAGCATTAAATGTTGTAAAACTTATGGAGATGTATGTATAGGTTCAATTTGCGAAGGGCAATATCAAGCAGCAGATTATAAAAACTTAAAAAAAACGAATAATCTTCCTTGCATGAGTAGCATAATTTATGATTTTCATGGCTTTTTAATGTATTTACATTTAACCAAATTACAAATTTTAATATGCCGCAATATTGTACATAAATCAGCATTGTTACTCTCTATATTTATCCAATTCCGATGTTGAATGCAAAATTGTTTTTTGAATCTTCAATATCAAACCAATATTTATTTGCGTTAAAAAGCTAGTTTCTAGAAGGAAAGTGTTTTTTTTAATTTTCTTTTGCTAGCAACATCCAAAACCATTTTAAATAAATACATCAAATTAAGAAATTATGATAACAATTGATTTTATTTTTATTTTTTTAAAAAAATTTTGAAAATAATTTAAACATCAAAATTTATATTTTTTTGAATTTATATCATAGGTTGAAGTTGATCAAAAATTTTTTGACTTATATTCAAATATTCTTAGGTTTTTCCAAAAATTCTTGATCGAAAATTTTTTTTAAAGGAAATCGAGGAAATCAAGGCGTGGAAACTTTCTCATTTATCCCATATATCCCAAAAATATTCAAAATAATCCCTGAGTCTGCATGCATTAGAATTGAGATATTCCATCATATCCTTCAATTACACGTCCAATACACTAAGGATACGTTTGGATATCTTTATTATCGTGCATACATGCTCAGGGATTATTTTGAATATTTTTGGGATATGTGGGATAAATATGATATTTGGGATAGTTTCCACGGCTTGGAGGAAATCAAACTTAAGTTGAAAAATTTTCTAGGCTACTTTCGATCGAAAGTGAATAATTTTCAACTAAAACTCAACAAAAATTTAAAGATCATTTTCTTTCACAAAGCTAAAGCTGGTCTAAAAGGAGCTTGATCAAAATTTATTTGAGAAATGATCATTGAAAATTTTGGTTGAAATTTTTGCTCAAGCAAAATTTGATGTAAAACTTTTTAAATTTTTTCAGTCATTTTGTTCAACTTCAAGCCCTGATATATATCAGGGTATATTATATATATTCCAAAGTAAATAATAAATTTAAAAAAAATTATTATTTACTTTGGAACTTTTAAAATCACATTTAAAACAATTAAAAATGATCAAAGTGCCGTTCACTTATTAAGTAACGTCAGAAGTTGAATTTATCAAAAAAAATCTTATTTCATTTATGACGTCCGATATTTATGGAAAAGGAGGGGTCTAGGATTTTGTGAAAGTTCAAACAAAGGATTTTTTGGACGGACGTCATAAGTGAATAGCCCCCTTCTTATTAAAAACGTGTAATATCGTGAGCATTGTGTGAACCCTTGTCATATTGACAGCAATTAATTATTGAGATTTCAGGGGACCGGTGGGAATCAAACCCAAATATTTACAAAAGAGAAATAACTACAAATATCCGATCTATTGTAACTACTAGTACCACCGAGTCATAGTCCTCACACTGGCACATTCGCATATATATGGCACAGAACCCCAGATTTTACTTTGCTCCGACACCATTAAACGTTGCGTAGCAAGTGAACAGCCCTTGTCCAATTGAGTAAAATATTATGGTTTCAAAATAAAATAGTAGCTACAATAAAGTTTCATATGATAAGAGCACGATTTCTCAAACCAGAGATCGCTTAAAGCTTAAATATTTTTCATAAATTAACCTTAAATTATTTTTAATTCAACGTTTCTTTGGATAACATAAAATAATTTGAAGAAAGATTTTATTCTAAAAAGTAAAAATTAACAGCAGACACCTTGCAGTTGATTAGAAATTCGACCAATTGATTTTTAAATCCCGGGTTGGATCCCAGGAATAGTTTAATCAACGGCAAATAACTCGGTTTGTGTTATTTATAAGCACTAATGGCTAGGATCAATCCAGGATATGCAATTGTGCAGTTTAGTAAAGTCATCGTCTTGCATGTCTAGTCGATGCTGCTTCGATCTTTTTAAATACTTCTCATGAAAAACAAAAATAAATAAAACATTCAATTAAGAATTTCAACAGAATAAGTCATCAGTAATCAAAATTTAAACTAATGTAAAATAATCAGAAGGGATTAATGTTTTTTAAATTTGGAAAAGACTTTTGAACTGAAATTCGTCATTAATTGCATTTATATATTTAACGCACATAGATCATGTTAAGAAGTAACGTAATGTGCTGATTTGACTTTTTCAATTTCCTGATCCCGTAAAATGAGAGAGATTAGGAAATCGTGCACGCATAGTGCTGACTTAGCACACTTAAATATCGTTGAGTAAAGTCATTCCTTGTTGGTTAATGAGTTCTGAAAATGGGAGCCTAATTTTTGATGATTAATAATTAATGAAAAAAATGGGATGTCTTGATAAACATTTTGTATTTTCAACATCATTAAAAACTTTCAAAGTTAGGTCATTAATAAGTTCACTGAGCTCCCGATCAGCGACATAAAAAACTTACTCTTTTAATTAATAAAAAAATTATTGACTTGCACTCACCAGTATCCTGGTAATCTTCCATAAGTGGTGGATAGTTGGGGATGGTTGGAAGTTGTCTCGGAAATTGCTGCATTTGCTGTGAATTTGGTGAAGCTGTTGATGAATCACAGTTCTCATATGATGGCTGACTACCAAGGGCACTGTCTGATCTTTGGTTCAACATTTGGTTGGGACTTTGGTTTAATTGAACGCTTCCATTGCTGCTTGATACACTTCCTGTACTTCGTGCTGGAAGTAAATGATGTATATTAGATGGTATAGGTGGAGGTGGAACTTCACCTTGAGCCAACACGCGAGATTCGTCTTGTGCCTGCGCACGTCTTAGGGCAGTCTGCAACGCCATTACACGCTGCCTCTCTGCCGTTAATTTACACTTTTCGCAATTACAATATCGATAAGCACAAAACCGTTTATGACCACGTAGTGCTAACTTATGACCATGATTTCTACATCGAGCACAATTTGGTGGTGTTCGTGGAGAAGAAGAATTATTTTGAGATTTGCCATTCATGATGGGTCCATCCATCATTTCAATATCTGATTCACTTTGATCACTGCCTGATGCTTTTGTATCGTAATTCGCGTGCATTATTTTCATATTTTTCATACACTTTTTATATTGAGAAAGATATTGTTATTTAAAATTATTTTATTTTTTAAATTAATCCTTTGGTGAATTCTTCTTTTGTTACAGTTATGTTTATTATCTAACTTGGTCACATTTGTTTATTCGTTTATTTTGTAAAATTTAAAACAAATTCTGTCTCCACTGACACTTGAAATTCTTATTCACATTATTAAAACCATTTTTGTGTCTCGGTTTTAATTTTTTTGGACCTAAAGCACTGTCAAGAATATATGGAATTATTTTTTTGTAACTTATTTCGTTACGCAGAAATGCAATTTATTTTAAAAACCCTCGAACTTGCTTCAAATTTTACAAAATGTCAAAAAACCCTCCCGTGAAGTTTATAAATGAGCCTAAGACTTCAAATTATTTTCAAAGCTTTACTTATTTTACAAATCATCAATGAAATTTTAATACAAAAAAAAAATAGGTAAAATTTAAGTTTTCGGACTTAAGACACCTTAGATCCCATCATATGAATGACATTCCACTTTTTGGATTTTTTTTTTTTAAATTTGAGCTTTTCTAATCAAGTTCTTTACAAATATGATTTATTAAAAAAAGATAGTCTTCAGCAAAGCCGTTTCAATGAAGCTCATTTCGAATCGGCTTTGCTAAGGCCACATTTTGCTATATTGTTTTGAAAGTCAAAGAAAGATTTTCAACAATTTCGGATGTGATATCACTTCATTAATTTCAAAATTGATTAAACTCGGGTTCACTGCACAATCTTGTAGTTTGTTTTTATACCATTTTTAGACACATGTCACCATTCGTTAGTGATTTAATTTGTTGTATTCTTATAGCTGAAGTCACACAATAAGACGATGCATCAAAAAAGAAAGAGAGAAAAAAAAATAAAAATTGTGGATTAAAATATGTGCGATGGGAGAGAATAAATGAAAAATTAGGGATAATAATCGAATAATGACTTTGGAATAATGACCATCAACATGAGGCTAGTGTGAAGCTAGATTTTATTGAATTTCAATAAATCTGAGCCAGCCACGCGCCAACTTAGTAGATTTTTTTTTGTATCTCTTCCACATCATGCATAAAACGTATCAAATGATCTAAGGTAATACTCAAGGACCTAAATACCCAACCCCTTTTCCCATAAACTAAAAATCATTCAAACCTAAGCTTGAATGGTTGCATTAGCATAAGTTATCTCAAGATCTGGCTTTAACATTATTATAAATATCCACATTAATACTAAACATACATCAATGATGGCAAAAACACATACGAAAATATCTATAAGTGACACTGTTGCTTAGCGGCATATTTTTTGTTTTCTTTTTACATATTTAATATTTTCCTCTCTTTCTCTTTCTTCTTATCAATGCGATTATTATTGCAATCGGGAAAGAAGAAGCAAAGCCAAGAATAAATGTGAGATGTGAGATTATAGGGTAAATATTTATTCGTAAGCAAGAACAGTGTATCATATATAAAATAAATAAAGAGAGAGAGAGATGAGATAGAGTTGCTTGTTTTGCCGGTATTTTCTACTGCATTTTGCAAATTGATGGGGGATTAACTGAATTATAAACTCCATAACAACCATTGCAAACCATTTCATCGTGTCGATGGTATTGAAGGATGAGAAGTATTACAAAATAAACTTAACGAAGGAATGAGAATTGCGAGAAAATAAGAAAATAATAAAAAAGTCTCCTTTTTCCAACTGAATGATGAAAAGTGTCAATAAACATTTTTTTTCCATGGACGAATAACGAAGGAAATTGGAATGGAGTGAAATGCAAGTAAAAATCTGTTCCGAGTTTTGTCCTCTCTTTTCATCGAGTGTTTCATTCTATTCTATTTATAAATCGCTGCACTATCGTTTCTTTCTGCAATTTGATCTACTGTAAGATTATTATTTATGCCTGTTGCATTATTGCCTTGTATCAGTTATATATACATATTTTTCAATCCTCAAGTAAACATAAAGTATAAATAAATAAATTTCATTATACAATGTACTCTAAAGTAAAAAAAAAACAAGTAGGAAAAGAACTGGAAATTCACAAAGAAGTGAAGAAAAGAAATAAGGAGACATATATAGAGAAGGAATGAGAAATGCAACATCGATGGATGTAAAACAAGTTATTTTCTTCTGTCATACTTGTGCTATGTAAGGAAGCTTTATATTCGTGCATTTATAAATGGGCAAATCTTTAAATTAAATATATTATAACACTAGTCGATTCAAATATTTCCGACCTTCCTTCCCACTGCCTTTATATTAGAAATTTTGAAGTGTCTTTCTCCTCGTTCTTAGCAGAACTTATTAAAATTTCAATTTTTAAATTTTTCAATTTGTATCAAGTCTTAACAATAAAATGTGATTTTATAATGACTGTAGAGAAGCCCATGCAATACTTAAAAAATATGGCAACACTGCATGCAAGTGTATGACATTGTATCACGTAAATACGATTTTATTCTGATGTACATATTATCAAGTGCACATTTTTGTAAAAAAAAAGAAATTCTTATCGGTTTTCCATTTACTGTGAATAATTTTTTTTTCTGGCACATTTTTTTGAAATATAAAATCACTTGATCTGCTTCTTATTATTATTTTTTAAGCCTAGAATTTTACTTTTTTAAAAGAATGAACTCAAGAGCAAAATGGAAAATGTGAATTTTACATTTTTCCGGCTTCTTACACAGTTACAAATTTATACAGACACTTGTTGGAATATTTTCTTCGGTGGAATGTTTTTTTTTCTTGATCTAGTCATATTAAGGAATGAAACTTGTAATGTCGAATAAGTAAGATTAAATTTTTGTTTAAATTGGAGTCGGTTGCTATTTACGCTAGAATTGAAAATTGTAGAAACACATTCAAGGTTTTAAATAAAATGTTATTGTAAGTTGGGGACCTCGGTTAGCCTTAGGATGAAAGATCCATGCATTAATAAATATTCTAACTAGATTGACACACATTTTAGATCATTGAAATGGTTGTCTAGAGAAAATTAAACTTTAAACCACCCAGCAGCTGGTTCTTAATGGTTGCCAAGTGGCTGCCTCTTAGTTTTAACTATCTTATCCACTTTGTCACTGTGTGCCAAATAAGCTAGTCAACAAGAGTACTCCAAATTCAATCATAATATGAAGACCGGTATTAGCACATGTTAATGAGCATAGATGTATTTGGTTTACAAATAGTATACACATTTAAACAAATGAAATTCTTACTTTAAATTTGAATTTCACGAATATTATTCTTCATTTGATTTACTACACGTGAAGATAAATCTTTCTTTTTAATTTATTTTGCTTTTGTTTCGGGCATATATGTTTATTTTTTTTTTTGATTTAATTATCGGCATTTATTTAATTCATATTTGATAAGAGTTAATTACTTTTTTTTAAAAAAAAATAATTGTTCATTTAAATAATGTCCATATCTTTAAGATTTTATTATTTTCTTATTTTCACTACGCACAGTCCGTAAAGAATATCGAAAGCCAGCACCATACAATGTATTCATATTTATTTAATTATTATTCGAAAGTATTTCCAATTATTCTTGAATAACTTGAAACACAACGTAAATTTTAATATTGAGAATGCTTCTACCGACGAAGTGCTCTCTACAATATCAGTTCATATACTAACTACGAGGAGAAGTAGCAACAAAATTTTAAAGTGTAAAAACACATAGTATGAAAGAAACAAGCTCTCGGGATATTGTATAAATGTATGGATACATACAAAGGAGAAAAATGTATAGAAACTACAAAGTTTAAAACTTTACAGTAGTTTTTATTGAAAGCACCTTACTAATGTAGTTTTATCCCATGTATACAAGAGAACGTGCTCTTTTCTGCTCATATTTATGCGAACAAAAATGAGTTATTTTCTCTTCAAAAAAGAGAGTAAGAAAAAGTTAAAATGATCACAATGATATGCAATGATCGGTGAATATGCACATTGTTGTTGATTTGATACGTTTTATCTTTGGCTTTTGGCGAACGCTTTAGCGCACATGCTTCACGAATATTATTAATCTCTCGTTTTTTTATTGTCTCCTCTCATTCACTCTCAGAGCGAGAGGAAATAATTCTGAAATAATTTTTTTTTCAAATACAAAAGAAAATTGAATGCAACAACAAAAAGTCCTTAGTAACAGTGCTGTGCAGACTCGGGTCGGGGGTTTTGGGCTCATCAAAATAAATAAATGAGAATTATTTTTAAATTCTTTCCTCATTCAAAATAAAAAAAGTGAGAAAAATTCTCGACTACACCCCTGAATCCTGTAGAAACAAGATTTAATTTATATGGGAAAAGTGAAATTGTGAATGTGTGACATGCAATCTTGTTGCATTGATAACAAAAAAAAAATTGAACCGAATACAATGACATTGAAAAATAGTTACATGCATTTAGAAGTTAATTCAATTTGACAAGGATTAATTGATCTTAATATTCTGATATGGCACTCCCAACAACTTTTATAAGTTTTATATTGTTGCAATTTATTATTCACAATATTTTAATATATTCCTTTTTTTTATAATTTGCACAACCGAGAATGAATCAAAATAAACATTTTACACATACTAATAGGGCAGAAAGTTCGGAATTTCAGTTCAACATTAACATATACATTGAATTTATGACGAAGCTTTAACGAGACAGCAAGCAACTTTGTTGCAAACCTCGGCTCTTTAGTATTAATTCTATATATACATGAGCATTTATTTCTTTTTACTTCATTTTTTCCTTCTCTTCTCATTCTTCACGTCAGGCAAAGCGTTCAACCTCACTAAAGTGTGTTCGACAATATTGACGACGATATTTTTTTTTCTTTTGCGCGTTTGATTCAAAATTGCAACAACAAAATACAGCATTTGTTGCTTTTATTAGATGACGAGAACGAAGAAAAAAAAAATTAAAAGAAAAAGAATGATTGTACATGAAAAAAAAAGAATCACACTTAGAAACCGATTGAATTGAAATTTACTTTAATGAGAGCTTTAATATCACATAAATTTTTTTGCAGAATATTTTAATAAATATATTTTTATATAAAATAAGGTGGAATAAGTAAAGGTGATGATTAGGATAAACTTTATTGGACAAACATCCGTCACTCAAATTTGTGTGCTATGAAAACATCTCGGCAACAAGCTTGGAAAATTTCAAGGTTGTCTATGGAGCTCATTACTTCATCATTTTATATTACATTTTCTTCACGCAGTAAATTTTTATCAATGAATTCTTTTCTAATTTCTATTGTGTAATGTATAAAAGTCTAACACTTATAATAAGTCTTTAAGTTGACTAGGTTACGTCAACTCGTATTGACCTAATTTTTTGTTGAATATTCTCCATTTCGATTCGACTTGAAATGGACTTAGGATTGACTTTTCAAACAAAATAAATTCTAGTCAAGTCGAAATATCGAGTTGATATCGAATTTTGACTCATAATGATCCTTAAATTAATTTCAACTAGTGAAATTTCAAATTCATTTAGGGGCTGTTCACTTATTACGTAACGCGAAAAAATGACTTCTTAGACCCCCCTCGTAACAAAATTTGTATGAAAAAAAAATTTCCTTGTTTGAACCGTAACAAAATCTTAGACCCCTTCCTCCCCCTAAAAGCGTTACGTAATAAGTGAATGGCCCCTTACTTATTCAAGAAAAAATCTTATGGCCAGAATGAAAATTAAATGAAAATGAGGTAGAATCCTAATAATCTCAATTAAAACGTATAAAAATCAGCTCTTCCTGAATTGATATTTTGAATCTCGCTTGAAATTAGGAATTTTATGTAAAATT